GTTTTTCTAGCTTTGACCCTTCTGATTGTCTCTCCCATCCCGTTGGTGGGGCAGTGTGTGAGCAGCTGCGTGGTTCTTGCCTGCCGGCTGGGGTTAAACCGTGACAAATGAATTCTGCATAAGTGTAACTTCTTGCCTCTAGAAGGAAACTTAAGCTTTTATTTAGGAGTCAGATAAACTTTGTGCTGAGTTAAACGGTCTGAACTAAGCACCTTAGGCTTATCTTAGGAGTCAGATAAACTTTGTGCTGAGCTAAGCACCTTAGGCTTATGTGTTTGAAGTACTAACTAGTGTCTAACCATGCAGGTGGCCAATGTGGAGCTGTACTACAAAGCCTTGCAGTTCTACTTAGACTACAAACCTCTGCTGATCAATGATCTCCTGCTTGTGTTATCTCCACGACTGGATCACACCAGGACAGTCAATTTTTTCTCAAAGGTGAGTTTGGGAGATGGGAGATGAACAATAAATTCTCTTGTTCAAGTTAAGATATTCCAGGCCATGTCTGGAAAACAGTTGACGTTTGGTAGCTTTGCCTCCAGTGTAGAAGACTGAGAAGCAGCCCAGTCCTGGCTTGATATGGGAAACACAGAGAGGTAGCAGAACTGGCCTAGGAGGCTGGTGTTTGTTTTTTTTTCTTCTGGCAGTATAAGATGCTTTGTCTGAAGGGCCCTAACAATAGGCACACATTCTTATAATAACAAGTGGGAACCTCTTTGGGGAATACGCAGTGTCAGGATTGGTATACTCAATCTTGTAATGGAAACATCTTACTTCCAGGTTAATCAGCTACTGCTAGTAAAGCCTTATCTGCGTTCAGTCCAGAACCACAACAACAAGGGAGTTAATGAAGCTCTAAACAACCTTTTAACAGAGGAGGAGGATTTCCAGGTGAGCCCCACAAAATAGATTGCTAAGCCTGAGGGATGCTCCTCTTTCTCCAACAAAAAGAGGCCATGGTTTTATTGTTCCCCAGCTGACACAGTAATTCCCTTGAGTAGAAGATAACATCTGCAATGCAGCAGTGGGGGGGTGGGTGTGCAGTCAGGCCCTCTGAGGGCAGGAGTCTTGAGACACCAATGACTTGTGAAAAAGTAGATGCCACAGATGTTTTTCCAGAACAAACCTCATAAAGGTCAGTACCAGGTGTGTACTTCACAGAGTAGCACTTCTTTAAATAAAGGTGTAGCCGTAGTATCAACATCCACCTGGCAGAACCTAAACACTTGTGTGCCATGATTAGATGCTTCTCTGCTGTAGTTCTGACCTACTGCCATGTGAAAGCACATGTAACTGCTCTCTCTTGAACAGGGTTTGAGAGCTTCCATCGATGCCTATGACAACTTTGATAACATAACGTTGGCTCAGCGCTTGGAAAAGCACGAACTAATTGAATTTAGGCGTATTGCAGCCTACTTGTACAAGGGTAACAACCGCTGGAAACAGAGTGTGGAGCTGTGCAAGAAGGACCGTCTGTATAAGGTGAGTTAATGAGACTAAAGTCTGAGCTGTGTTGCATAGATTGCCTGGATATGCAATATGTTTCGTTAGTTTCAAGTCTGGAGATTTAATCAGTCTTAGCCCTTCGCTTGAAGTTTAAGGAAAGACTCCTATTAGAGCAGAAGGGTATGCAATTTCAAATGAGCATCTTAAATCTAATTTCATAATGTTGTCTTGTACTTGGAGACCTGCTCTGCATCAATCAGTGGCATCTGTAGTTATCTGTATCAGTATGAAACATTATCCATAGGACAGAAGACTTGTACTCTTGTAAGGATACTGATAAAATGTGATTACAGTGGTATAATCTTCAAGCCTGTAGTGAGTTTGTGCCTACTCTGTAGGAAAGCTGGCAAATAGTCTTCTGTCTTGCCACATAGCAAGCAGTTGATGGAATAATCTCTTCTGTTCTGGGTAATCCCTAAGATCTAATGGAGAGGTAGGTGGGATACCAGTAAGATTGCTTATCTTATCTGCTACAAAGCTAGGAAAAATCTCATCAGGTCACTTCAAGTACTTAAGGGAAGCCTGTTGGATAATGTTAATAAAGACCTGGGTTTCCTCAAAGTAAGATAACTTAACTGAAGCTGTGTACTGTAGCTTGGCTCCTACAGAACATGCCTGGTGTTGTTAAAGATTAACTTCATGGTATGCCAAATACCTGGCTTATATAGCTAGCAATAACATGCATACAAGGTGTAGAGCAAGATGTTGACAGGCAAGGGTCAAGCTTAACTGTTTTGTCTTCTGTAGGATGCTATGCAGTATGCTGCAGAGTCCAAAGATGCAGAGCTGGCTGAGAAGCTGCTCCAGTGGTTCTTGGAAGAAGGCAAGCAGGAGTGCTTTGCAGCCTGCCTTTTCACATGCTATGACTTGCTGCACCCAGATGTAGTCCTTGAGTTGGCATGGAGACATAACATCATGGACTTTGCAATGCCTTATTTCATCCAAGTGATGAGAGAGTACCTTACCAAAGTGAGTATTGCATAGGCTAAAAGTTAAGTTTGCTGGATGATTAGCATTATGCAAACCAGACCTCTTTGCATATATTAGGAAAATTACTGTTTCTCATAGACAAAGACTTCTTGAAGTATTGGGGGTTTCATCACTTCAGGCTAGCTAGCAAAGTTTATAAATAGATGCCTTGGGACTTGAAGTCTAGTTAAACTTCTGTTTTTAACAGTGGACATGAGCTCCTCAGAGCAGCTCCACAGCTGAAACTGAAAACTTGGTGAGGACAACCGATATCCCTGTTTACTTTGTGTAACTGTGAAAGTACTCTGTTTCCTTGTTACAGGGAATAGAACTTTGGAATACCTAATAGTGCACGTTATTCCTACATCAGTCGTAGCAGCAGACTGCTGAAGATGTTTTGGTTTGTTTTTTTTAAATGGGAACCAGAACTTTAGATGCGTAGTCTGGCTGTACAGGACTGATGATACCAATAGCTGGTCCCCAGCTGAGAGAAGAAATTCTGTTCGTGTGTGGTCCTGAAAGGTTTGTCTCAAACCATTCTAAGATACTAAGCTAAGATCCTGCCTTGGAAAGCTCTAGGGTTGCATAGGAAATCACAGAACTTTTTAAAATTGCTTGTTTTAATTGTAACTGCTTCAGGTTGCTGCTGATAAGTCATGTTAAGTATTCCCCTCTGAATTTTCTTGCAGGTTGATGGGCTGTTCTATAAGGTGACACTCTGATTTCAAACTCTTTGTGTTCATTTGTGTCCCTCAATATCCTAGGTTTCTTTTGCAGGAATCTAGCTGTAGCTTCTGCCAGAAGAGCAGTGTAATTTAGCTCTAACTCATTTCCTGTTCACTTTCTAATGCTAAAAGGATAACTATTCACAAGCAACTTGAAAATCCAACTAGACTACTCCTTTTCATGGGAAACAGAAACAAGTGATTGAGGAGGACTTGAGTGTTTGGGCTCCTGTTTACTGTATTACAGATACTTTGTGGCCAGGGGGATGCTGTTCATAAGGAAACAAAAGCAGCTGCCATGTAACAGGGTGTCTTGCAAGTGCAAATTGCTTGTTATGCTGTAAATTACTGAAGTGTGCAGTAATTCAGGCATGGTGAGTTAAAGTAGTGACATAAAACTGCTGCAAACTTCTTACCTTTGAGTATGATGAAAGTACTTGCACAGACCTTAAATACCTCCTCCTACTCCTCATATTTCACTGAGGAGAAACTTGCCACACAAGTTCACCCGAATTCCTGAGGTTTAGGTGTAAAGTGATATATTTTAAACTGCTGGTTGGATTTCCAAGTGATCCCATGTACTACTAAACACGGGATAACTTACCAGAAGGAAAATCTGCATGGTGAAAGTGGTTTACAGTGAAACTAATTTAGTCTGTTGAATTAACTGCAAAATACGGAGTTGGAGAATGGGCTTTATAAATGTGGTATGTCTAAAATTGTCATGTAACTAACTTCAAAAGCACAAAGAATAGACCAGTTTCAGTGGGGCATGTACATCTTCAGAACTTACCTGTTTTTTCTGCATTAAAAAAAGATGTTAAAACACAGAATACCCGATGTCCCAGAAAGGGGCCAGGCACACGGTATAGTGACACTCACCTGGAGACCTTTTGAAGCACTTGCAGGCAGCAGAGAAGACGCGTTTTGGCTCTCCCGGAGCTGCTCCTGTCCCTTGTTGGGGATGGCCGCGGTGTGCCCAGCAGAGGGCACGGCTGCACTGCTGGCTGGAGCCACTGCAGGGAACAGCGATCTCGGGAGCGCGGGCTCCGGGGTAGACAGCAGGACAGGGAGTCACGAACCACTTACTTTGAGCCACAGTCATTTGGATAGGGTTTGTAACACCGATATTTGGTGTTATGCTGAGGAGCTGTTAGGCTGACAGCTGCAAATGAACCAGTTAAAGACCTACTGCCACTCAAGTTAGTAATTTGAATGCAAACTTCAAAAAGTTCAGGGTAAACACCACATCTAGATAACATCTCTAAAGGGTAATAGAGACCTCTTGCAGCAATTCTCAGACCAGATACGACTGTTGTGGTGAGAAAGGAGGTTGAGTGAGGAGCTGCTGAAATAGAGCATTGACCTGAATGTAGTACTGCCTGTGCCTGGATGTGAAGCTGTGTGATTTTTATGGTCTTCAGTCTCAGTGGTTCTCTTATGGAATACATAACTTGTTAAACGTGAGAAGGAAAGTATGGTTGCATCTTCAGATTGCTGCCCTCACCCCCAGTTCAAAGTTTTATTCAGGACCTCCTGCATTATTGTAGCACTTTCACAAATGTGTTTAGCATGAACAGAGCTTTACTTGGTACAGTGCTGAGATCTGTAGAAAACTGATACTACTAGACCACTTTCCACGATGATTCTAGAGTTTCCTTTAGAGTAAGTCTCTGTGAATACTAATACAGTTAAACAAATACCTAGCAGCCCAGGTTAGGCTGTAGTCCTAGATAAGATCAAACTTCATGGGCCTGGAATATTTGCAAGTATCTGTGTGCTGTCATTGAAGGGGAGAGGGATTGTAGGTTAACAGATAAGTCTAGGTTAAGCCCATTTGAGATGATGCTCAGAATTGCAATCTGATGGGTTTTCTGGGTTATAGAGTTAGCAGTGACTAAAATAGGGCCTCCTAAAGTGGTTCATTTGAAGGTAATGAGGATCTCTGCTGCATTTGAGAGCTGTTGTATATTGCAATACACCTAAAGCAGTTGGGAAGCCAGGTTTACAACATAGCTTGCTAGGAACAGGCAGACTTCAGTAGTCTCCAACTTGGACTAAAAAGGAGCACTTGGTAGCTGAGGTACCAGGCATGAAAAGCTTCACACAATGGTGTGATGAGGCCTTCATAAATCTCCTGTTCACTTCAATGTAGGTGGATAAACTTGATGCTTCTGAAAGCCTAAGAAAAGAAGAGGAACAAGTAACTGAACCCACTCCAATAGTATTTGGTAGGTGAAAGACTTGGTTTTAATTGATTACCTATTGTCACTCTGGTCTCTTTGCAGAGGCAACTTAGATGACAACCTCCAGTGACAGTAAACTGGTTTCAACTAGGTAGTAGTTGAAATAGTTGTCTCTGCTAGATGAACTGTGTAAGTTGTTGAAGTGGCATCCCACTCTTACAGTACTTCTACTCCTCAGCTGAAATATTGCTCGTCTTACACAGCTCAGAACTCTACCTTAGGAATAGCCTTTCATATGGTAACAGGACAGGGGATACCAAGGTGTTGCCAATTCCAGGAAAAACTTACGGAGCATGCGAATTCCTCCTCTGATTCCTGTCTGAGGAATGTGTCTGCTTTCTGCTCTTCCAAGTAGAAAGACAGAGTGGCTTTCTAGCTCACCTGTTTTAAGACATGTGCAGCCAAAAACCCATTGCTGTCCTCAGTGTGCTGCTATTTTAGAAGCCCTTCTTGAAGAGGCATTCTGCTAACAAGCACCTAGAAGTGGCTGGTAAGGGAAGGATGTGACTAGTTCACTGTCTGATGTAAATGTTAACATGAATTTAACATGTGCATGGGGCATGTGTAGTCCTAGCAATGAAGACTCTCTGTCAAGGTATGTTCAGGCCTCTTGCAGCACTCTCCCAACTGTGAGACCTAACAGACCTAACTATTTGCTTGAATTGCTTTACTCTTCAGATCTGGCCATGCATGGGTTAAATAATATCAGTTTGTTTGGCTTTCAGTATGGTCTCTTCAAAATGTTTGTCATGCCCTCATGATCATACTCCTCATCTTTCCTCTTGAGCCCTGCCTTGCTTTTGTAGCTCTCTGGTAGCAAGAGCAGATGGCCTGGTTGCCCACTCGGTGGTGCATGTTGGGTAATAGTGTGACTTGCTAGTGTCTGCTTGCACAGGGTCTGTTTTTTAGCTAAAGCCTCATAATCCTGTCCCATAGTACAGCTAGCATTAGGGAAGCTTGGGATCTTAAGCTAACTTATGTGTTTTTTTTCTCATGCTTTTCTAGGCCAGCAGTTGATGTTAACAGCAGGCCCCAGTGCAGTACCTCCCCAGGCAAACTTCCCATATGGATACACAGCACCAGGATTCACCCAGCCACCTGGTTATGGTTTCAATATGTAACCAGCTCTCTGACAGACCTTCACTGTCTCTGTTCTCTTCCTTCCCGTCCCTTTGTAACTTCTCCAAGAAGTGTACAATGGTCCTAAAGGCACAGATGACCTTCTAGTGGCTGAACACACTTGCTGCCTGGCTCAGTGAGGAGACTTCAGCAGGGTGCCTGTTACTGTTATTTATTGATTATTGTCCGGTTACATTTCAACCTCTGAAAGGCAGCTTTTGTTAATGACATTGTGAGACTCTTGCCTGAAGTTAAGGCACTATTTCACTAACTCATATAGCAATAACTGCTTGAGGCCAGGGGGAAGAGAGCATATTTTTCTTTCTTTTGCAAAGCCCATTGAAGGCAGCTGGGAAATTGCCTGGCACCAAGTTGTTAAAGCTTTAGCTGAAGCTACTGAAGTAGCAGGGCTGTTAACAATTCAGTGAAGCATCTCGTTAATACAGAATTGTTGAAAGCTTGTCTACATCTGACTACCCCATTTTATTTGCATTCTGATGTGCAAAAAAAATGGGCTTTTCTAATATTTGTGCTCTGAATGTTTAGAGGAATATTGGGAAAGTTTCCTTTTCTGGACAATAATGCTGTTGGAGCTCAATGCTGTTGGAGCTCAATGCTGTTGGAGCTCAATGCTGTTGGAGCTCAATGCTGTTGGAGTCTGTTCTATATTTTCTGGAGTAGATCTGAGACTTGAAGAAAATAAATCTTCTCATGCCAGAGAGCAAACACTTCCCAGATCCTTTTTGTTTAACAAGAAGAGAGCATGTTACTTATTGACGTTAAATGGTACTAAAGGAAACCTCAGCTATGCGTGGCAAGAGAACATAGGAGTGTGCACGGGCTGCCAAAGTACTAGAGATGCAAGAGCACAGCGTCAGGGTTGGGGAGGGGAACACACTGCTCAGATATTGAGGCAGTAGGGAGGGCCATAATCCTGACTTTTTATTTGCCCCTTTAACTGATTCTGGCATTGGCTTCCTGCCACACCATGTTCTGACCCTGTCTGGTGGGCAGAGTCAGCACCACCTAAAAGAACAGGGTGCAATGACTCAGTTCTGCTATGCTGCAGGAGAATCAACAGTGTGTCCGTCACCCACCTCTTCCTTTGAGAATGCCAACAGGGATGTATTATTACTTTGTGCCACTTCAAATACATGTATCATTAACATTTTATGTACTTAGATAACAATGTATAATTTATGGCTATGAATCTTGTGCTAATCTTGAATATTACGAAAGTCCAACTATAAATGTAAAACTGCAGTATCCACTGTGTGGTTCTAGTCTTAATATCTTGGGGGTGGGGACTGGTTGGTAGTATTACACTACCACTCATAGCATCAGGTTTCTTAATCTGACAACTAAGGGTGCCAGACAGGAAAATAGAGACCTGTGCCAAAGCACTAACAGGGGTGGCGTAGCAAGGAACTTAGAGGGAGCTGTGGTCTCTTCACCAGACACATCAGCACACTGTCACATGGGGAGGGTATGTTGCAGGAGACAGTCACGTGCTTACATGATATCATTCACAAGACTGGGAAAGCTTCAGTCCTGTGTTGAGAGAGGTGCTGCAGTTAGTGTCTTCTCTGTTGAAATACGCCATTATGGCAGCGGTAGCGGTAAGCTATACCTCTTCATACTGAATCCTACTTGAATAGGGCAAAACACTTAAGTTCTAACTATTATGTTGTCTCTCTTGGCCACCACACTGTGATGGCAATGGCAAAGAGATGCAGTTTCACCTTCCTGATGCAGGCTGGAGTGCTTCAAGTAAGATACTACCCTCAGCTTTGTACTGATCATTACTCTCAGCTCAGCTTGAAATGCTGAGCAGCTAATGAGTTCAGGCAAATCTCCACTCTGTCCAGGTTTATTCATAGCAGGAATCAGCCAGGTAGCATGCCATTTTCCAGGAAAATGGTATTGCTGTTTTATAACCAGTTCCTTGTGAGTCTAAAGGAATTTGGGTAAGTCAGCTGGAACTGAAGACCAACTCTAGCCATTAGTTAGGACTGTAGGACTTTTCCTTCTTCCCAATTTAAAAATTTGCTATGAATTTACAGCAACAAGTGCAAGCTGATGGAGCACAGTGAAGTGCTAGGTCTAACACTAGAACAGCTCCTGACTTAAAACAGAATTGAGCTAGCCTGGGGGTCCTTAATAGCTTCCCTCTAGAAATCTGATTACAGGAGTGACTGAGTTCTCAAGGAGAGCAAAGCTGCCAGCTCTGATGAACAGTCTTGCTTTTGTTGCTCTCCTGGTATCTAAGCTCTTGCTAGTATAATGGCTTTTATAAATTTTGTGATCTTGCATTCTAAAATACATTCAAAAATATACACTCCCTGCCATTACAGTGCAGCTGTACCTAAAATGTGGAACAAACTCTGGCATACCAGAGTAC